TTGCTCATCTGACAAAATGGATATCAGTGTTGAGGGAGCAGCTGTAATGAGATGTGGACGGCAGCATGCTGAGGGCCAGGTCTCAGCGCCCGGCTTATGAGAGGCTGCGGGAAGCAATAATACATACACGATCTTAATGTATGGGTGTGCAGATAGGGCTGAGCTGTCAGTTGATAGATGAGAAGGGTTAAGAGTACCCCCTGCTGCAGAGTGTGTATGTGCAGCTTCGTGCATTTACACACAGGCCATACAGCAAATAAATGGAGTTGTCTGCCCCTTTGACTGACAGTTACACACGGAGGGATTGTGCTGCTGGATGAAGCTGTAACCATAGGCAGATAAAGACCCCGGGTATTAGTTGATTAATGATCAAAAAGGCCGCCTTTCATGATTTGACCGTGTGAGGTGAAGGATTGGGAAAATGTGGGGGGAAAAAAAGCAAGAAACCAAGATAGAGCGCTTGCTGAAAAGCCTGCCAGATTGAGCTAGCTAAGCGAGAACACATGATGGGTTAAGATTTACAGCGAGCCAGGGACAGTATTTTGTTTCGGGCAATCGGTCGTGAGGCATGTATCAAGAATTACAAGTGAGGGAAATGAGTTATACTACCCCTGTCTTTGTACTAATCAGAAGATATCGTCCCGGGCTCAAAATAGGGCTGGGCTTAAGTAAATGTAATTTAAGAAGTGTATTTTTTCCAGCCCTAGAAGCCCCTTGATAAACTCTTCAAAGCAGATCCACATCAGCGGAGACAGAGGAGACTAAGCTATAACTGAGAGTTCCGTCACTGATAACTGATTTAATGAAAGACTTTGGAAAGTGGACCTTTTTTCTCTGCCTTTGATTTCGCTTGCTCTCCGTCTATGTATATCTGTCTCTCCCTTGTTGTCTCAGTGCTTCTCTTTCTCCTCTATCTAGGCATTAAAGGAGGATTTAGACGGCTCTGTTATTTCTGTAGCACAATGGATCACCCGGTGTAATGTAACCAAACCCTTTTCCTTTTGCTTTTAACTGGCCCCTCCCTATTGCATACACCCCTCGGCTCTCTGTCTTTCTTTCTCTCACGCACATACACCCTTTTCCTCCATCTCTAGCTCAGATTCTGAAGAATTAGACATTATAAATGGGGCCAATGGCAGTATTGGACACTCCCATCAAGGGGTCTAGTGACTGCTGTTTACTCTAGGCCAGGGACATTAGCATCTGATAAATCTACCTCACTCTGCCCCTCTCTGCTTCTCAGGTTCTACATGTTCATGTCCGACTGTATCACAGATGCCGCTTCCAGATCCCAGCACCAGTGCATCCCTGCGTGTCTGTGTGTGTCATATCGCTGACATTAGACATGTAATGACCTAGCCTATCTGTGGTGTAACAGCACAAGGGTAGGGCAGTGTCAGGTACCTTGGGTGTATGCAGTAATAGCAGTAGCAGGGACAACATTTCTCAACAGAAGCTTCGTGTACTGCAGGTTTTCAAGGCGAATTATCATTATTTTGAGAGTTCCTATTGAGAGTGTTTGTCAAATTAAAACAGAGAACCTTAAATGCTTGTCAGTGAGAGAGAATGAGATAAAAATGCACACCAGGGACAACCGGCACTTAGTGTACACATTTAGCTAAATTCATGTTCTTTCCAAAACACTATCATGAAATAACAATAATTGATCTGTGTGCTGTAATTGTTATCCTGGGCGAGAGGAGGGGCCGGGCCACAGCGAGGCATTTACAGTAATTGTCTCATTTATGATGCACATCTATTGCCTATGATTACATTTGAATGAACAGCAAGCTTCAAATCAAATTCACAAAGAAACACACAGGCTGAATAAAGGCCCAATTTCAGCAAATGTCTACATGGACTGATCAGCTGGGACAGATCCTCTCTTCAAAGCAGCATCCTGCCAGCTGCCCCCCAGCCATAACCTCATATAAAAGACACACACACACACACACACACACACACACACACACACACACACACACACACACACACACACACACACCACACACACACACACACACACACACACACACACACACACACACACACACACACACACACACACACACACACACACACACACACACACACACACCACACACACACACACACACACACACACACACACACACACACACACACACACACACACACACACACACACACACTTTCAGGAATCAATAATTCAGCTAAAGAGAAGCACATGCTACGCCCCACTGCACTAATCAATAGAAAGCCAAATGTTATCTTTTCATCTCATTCTCTGACTTTCACATTCTAATCGGGGCTGACTAGCTCATGCTGGACAGCATCAGAGAACTCCATTACATTTGAATATAATACAGACATACAGAGGATAAAAGGATCCCGAATTCAAAATGTGCCTCCGTTTTTCTTGACAATCCTGGCTCCTTTTTTAACAAAAGGGTCCTTAGCTGTAACAGAGTGCAGATGTTCTAGACATTTTCTATGCATAGAATCACAAATACAGTATGTGTCATAAAATGGAGGCGAGAAAAGGTGGATGGCAACACTTGAGCATGAATTACGCCCCACTCCCCCTCCCTATCCAAGATATTTATGCCCCCCTGCTCACATCCCTTGGGAGAATGAGGCCATACCTTGGGAATGCAGCAATGAAGATGAAGAGAAAGACCTGTGTGATTTGAGACTGATGACTAAATCCGAGCGGTGGTGTACGTGTGAAGCAAAAGGGGGGACCTGCAGTGAGTTTGTGTGTGTGCGTGTGTGTGTGCGTGTGTGTGTGAGTGTGTGTGCACATGCGAGGCCAAAGTGACTACCGTGTGATATTGTCGACTGTCGGACTGAAGCTGCCAGCCATGGCCATTCTCCCCTCTCTGTAATCGAGCTATCAATGACCATTAATGAGAGTGTGAGATAGCTCTCTACAGCCCTCTGGGTTACATTGCCCAACACTCTGGCCTCTCTCCCCACCTCCCTTTTCCCCAATGACCCTGTCTATTGCCCAATAACATCCACCGACGAGGCCATCGGCTCACTAACTAAACACGAATATGAATGTCGGCTTCTGATTAATAAACAGAATGATATGCTCTCCCCGCCTCACCACGCCCCCACTGTGGTTCTCGTTTGCATGACACAGGACCCTAGCGGCTGGCTCAAGGATACCTCAATCGCTGACGGTGGCAAGATCGGATCTGCGCTGACCTTGGCAGTGAACTGCAGCAGAGGCGGAGGACGCAGGGGGCCCTGTTGCAACAGAGCGGGCTGGCTGAGAGCGAGGGGAGGGAGGAAGAGGGGGGGGAAGAAATGGAAGGGAGGGAGGGGAGAATGGAGGGGCATGCCCTGATTGAGAGGCCCACGAGATGAGCAACTCTGAGATATTAGAAGGGGGGAGGGGGATGATGGAAGGAGTAGTGGAGGGGTGGGTGGGAGGTAGAGGGAAGCCATATGGCAGCAGCACAAATGTATTAAACTATAAATCAGGGTGAGAGCGAGTGGACTGCCAGGTGGGGCTGCAGGCAGGTCGTCGCCGCTGGAAACGCACTGCTTCACCATCCAGCTCCACATGAGAGCAGGAAAACATCTCTCCAGTATACTTCACTGTCCTTTTATCACTTTTATTTATTCATTCATTGCATTAACTGCTTTTCTTTATGCCTGATGCCCTTTGTATTGACACAGTGGATTTGCTACAATTTAGCGTTCATTTCTAGGGCTGGGTGTTTAAAAATGTTCCACACTAATAGAACAGCTATTTGCTTAATTCATTGGATTTGTTCAATGTTTCAGGGTTGAAAAAACTAGTAAGATGTCTTTCTCTTAATAAGATAAAGAAATATTTGGTTTATGTCAAATAGATTAAAAAATATATAATTGAATGCCAATTTCCAAACTTGACACGTTTTGATATTGGTGCTAAGGAAATATTTGGTTCCCTACTGTATTGAAGTTTGTTGAGCTGCCCTACAGTATATAGTCCGCTATGAATGCAATGGAAAATTGTAATATCACAATATAAAAAAAGGATTTGAGACATAACTATTGCACAAGTCAAGTTCAACTGCACACCTTTAGCATCCGATAATGGTCAGAAATTAGTGTTACACATGTGGTAGAAAAATGGAGTAATCCCCAAAAGGCTTCCATTTTAATCCCTTGATGATGTCTGGGTAGTGTGCCCAGCCAGTGTCCTGGCAGCCGTCGGGGCCCAGCCTGGGCTTCCATCCCAGAGGCACTGATGCATACTACAGCTAGAGCAAACACGGGCAGCCTCCCTCATGCCTGCTCTCCGTCAGAACATAACGACCATCACCGTAAAAAAAGAAGGGTTCATAACCTGTATGTCCCTCTTTGTGCAGCACTACAATAAGCCATTTGTGCTGGTTAGTGAATAAGCAGCTTCATAATTAAACGTTGTATTCGCCTCAATCAGAAAAGTGGCATTGAAGCACTCAAACAAAGGCCTACATTCAGCTTTCAAATACTTCATTAGGGAATTAAATGTGGGTCCCGATTCTCTCATCTGTTTAAAAGAATAGCTGCTGTCAGTTATTTATAAATAACAAAAGCCTCTGAATCTTTGATATGTTATTTAACACATCACACTTGATGCCATTGCACTGTATCACATCAAGATCTCATCAGTTTGCAGGCGAGGGATGGATGGATGTTACTGGACAGCTCCCAGTAACGGTCTGGTACGCTGGACTAACTCAAGCCTTGATCCCTGATCCTGCACTCAGAGAGACACAAGGATGCACACACCCCACACACACACACACACACACTGACATAGACATCCAAACTCCCAACGAGGTACCTGCCATCTGAAACCATCACAGCCAAGGCCGGCTATCCATCAAATCCCATCTCCACTCAGGGATGAGAGGGGGATGAAGAGAGGGCGGTGGAAGAGAGGAGGTGGGGGAGGAAGGGGGGGGAGGGAGGGAGGCAGGACACAGAAGTGTAGGAGTAGATGCTTGAGGAATGCAAGAAGAGGAGAAGAACCGTACCTTGGTCTGGAGATAGTGGGGGTAGTAGTAGGTGTACTGAGGGTACATTGGCTGCTGCTCCAATCGCTTGCCCATGTAGCTGGAATCCTTAGCACTGAGGCAGGGAATGGTGACACGGGGGCGGAAGCTGCCAAGTAGCTAGCAATGGGATAGAGGCAGCGGAGGGGCAGTGCGATTATTTTTCTGTGTCGCTAGCCGGTCCTCCGGAGAGAAGACAGGGTCTGCGTGGCGGACAGCAGCTGGGAGAGGGTCTGCCTCTGATTGGGGGGGGGAGCTCTGTGCCTCACCGGTCCTGAGCCTCAGTGTCTGGTAGATGCTCACTCAAGTCTCTTACTGCCCGATCAATGGAAATATTTCCACAAGTGCTAGAACCAAGAGCGCTGTGTCTGTCAGTGGCTGGTATCGGATGGTAACGCGCGATAAGGGTGAGGAAGTGGAGGAAAGAGAAGAGGTGCAGGTGGCAGTAGCTCTGGCAGTCCTGTGAATGTTGGAAAATGGGAGAAGGAAGAAGAGGAGGAGAGGAGGAGGAAAGGGATGGCAAGGAAAACGGGAAAGGACGTATAGGTTCACTTCTCTATTGGAGCTGTTTCACTCCAGTCTTTTGCCTGGGCTTTAATCTGCCTCTCTCTCAGACACACTGTGGATCTGACTCTCTCTCACTGCCCCTCTCTCTCTCTCTGTGTCCCTCTAACATACACAAAGTATCTCTCTCTCTCTCTCTCTGTGGTCTGATCCGACGGTGGCTGCGTGCTGTCCTGTTTGACAGAGGGGAGATATCCTCAGCACCGGTTGCCGACGAGATGCACTTTATGCAAGGAGCAGAATCACAACACGAGAGCCGAGCGCACGCACAGAAAGCAATCTCAGCCTGGAGCGAAGGAGCCAGCAAGAGGGCAGATAACAGAGAAATGATCCCAGTTTTCTAAACGATGTGTATTTTAAAAAATCCACCGGTTGGTAAGTCAATCCTCTGGGTTCCAGATAGAAGACGAGTAGGGGGGAAAAAACCACAGTGAGTGAGTCCCAGGTGCCGAGTAGAGAAGGAGTCCCTCGTCTGCGATCCTCCCTCTTCCTGCACTTGTAAAATGTGTTCCTTATTTTGTCCTTGGCTTTCTCACTCCTCTAAGCAGCCTGCCTCGTTCTCTTTCCCTCTGTCACACAGTTGCTCTCTCTCTCTCTCTCTCTCTCTCTCTCTCTCTCTCTCTCTCTCTCTCTCTCTCTTTCTCTCTCACTCTCGCGTGCGCTTTCTCTATCAGTCAGCCTCTCTCTCTCTTTCTTCTCCACACTGACAGGGCGGTAAAGGGGGCTCGTCCGAGGCTACAAGCAGAGCAGACCGCCTCCTCCTTCTCCAGCCCAGCCGGTAGGAGGGTCTTTAGCAGATCTGTGCGAGAGAGGGATCCAGACACAGACCAGAGGGCTGCAGCGTTTCCACAACCTGGGAGAACGCAGGGGAGAGGAGTGGAAGCGAGAGGGGGGGAAGGCGTCAGCGCGAGCAGTCGATTCCCCCTACTGGCTGCACACGGAGCTACCGCAACAGACTGAGTCCTCGACACTTTACAGAGTCTCAAAACCAGAACAGTTGGATAAACCACTTCCAATGTTCAACCTTACTCCTCGACTGCAAGAATTGAAAGGCAATACGTAATTTCTGTATAATATATAATATAACTGTTGCCTAATAACTGTTGCCTGTGGACAAATATCTTAGCATTTATCAGAATAGGTTTTATTACCAAGTAGGTTCACACATATGAGGATGCTGCTGGTGTAGATGGTGCATACAAACCATAGACTGTATATACAAACACATAGAATGACGAATACGCTTTTTTTTAAAGAAAGCTTTTTTTTTTTTAAATAGTGCTAATACAAAGACTATTTTAAAAACGATTGTAAAAAATAGTAAACAAAGAAATTGGTTTCAATGTTGTTTTTTTGCCTCTTCTGCTGTTACCGTAAAATTGCAAAGTAAATCATATAAGATTTAGAACTTGTAAATATATGTTTCACTGCAGGGTCAACACAATGTGCAGTAGGACTTCACTTGTATGAGCTATAATCACTAACACTACATGGAAAGGCAGTAAACAACTATCTCTATGGCACTGGCTGAGGAAGTCAAAGGAAGCCACTTCCTGTGCAACATCAAAGGATCACAATGGATGAATCCTCCTTTGAGTGACCATAGCCGTGACCAAAAACATCTCAGAAATGTCCCATATGTGAGTGTTTGCCTGATCACAAGCAACCTCAGCTACACCCATACTTCTGCGAAGATCAAAAACATGCAGAAACATAACGCTCAGAATTCCCACTTGTCCCACACACACACAGTATTTTGTGACGTATCAAGTTCAGGAGTCTCCTTTTTCACAGAGCAAACTTGGTTTCCATTTAAAACCTCTTGATTTTAGTCCTGCAGGAAAAGGAAAGCCACAAACTAACTTGACTGAGATATAATGATGTTTTCACAATTTACACATCTAAAACTAAACTCCGATTTGATGAGATTAATTGTGTAATGTATCCGTTACACTCGAGAGCATTACATAAAAACCCATGAGGCTCACATCTGCTTCTCAACAAATAATAACCTAATTACAGATTTATAGTCCAACAATGAACTATCCAAAATGAATATTGTATGAATAAATCCATCAATTGCAAGAAAATGAGTCAATAAAAACTTGATTTTTTTGCAATACAGATTATTTTCAACTATGAGGAGTTTGTTTTAAGACATATAATGTATTGAAAAAGTACATATTTTTAGGAGAGCGATGTGCATGTGGACAGATGCAATCAATAGCAGAAGAAGAATCCCAGGGACCAAAACAAAGCAGGGAGTGGAAGGGCAGCCTTTTACAGATATAGAGAGGAACATATAATTATCAGATAGGCCACTTCTATCTGTAGGAAAGAGATGAGGCTGATATCGATTGTGGATTACCAGATGAACAGCCTGTGGATCAACTAGACACACAAACTCTCAGCATCTGGGGAAAAGGCAGAAAGTAGAGAACAAAGACAGTAAGACAGAAAAGGCCAATGGAGAGAGTAATAGAAAGAGATATGGAGAGAAAATAAGATAAGACGCAGTGGGAGACAGAACTGGAGGAGGCAGAGAAGATTCATATGTCGTCGTACGTCGTCCCTGTATTTCATTGATAAGGCTCGTCCTTTTCTGTTCTCACTTAAGAATACTGAGATGAAAAGGAGTAGAACCGAGTAATATGTCAGATTAAAGTGATTATCAGCCAGATTGTGTCCATATGTGACCAAAAGTCATGTTTCCGGCTGCAAATGATGCGTCGAACAATAGAGAGTGAGCACAAACATGGAGAAAGAAATGCAAATGAGGCCATCAAAGTAATACAATAAAAAGTGTGTTTGCAATGTACTGTGTGAATAAGTGTAATTATCACCCAGATTTTAAATTTTTTTTATTTTTCTTTAGTGTGAGAATGTATTTGCATATCATGTAATTACTTAAATATCTCTGCGTTTGCTATCTGTCGGTATCACCTTTGGCTCTGGGAAATTGTAACAAGTCTGTTTTCCATTTCATTTAATGTTCATGACAAGAGACACATGATGTAATAGAGAATGACAATCAGTAGTTTGAGCTACAGTTTTAGAAATTAACTTCTTTACAGCCATATTCCAAACTCAAATCCATAAGAAAATAAATCCCAAATATTTTTGAAATGTCGGATTATTAGCGACTGTTTTTGACGAAGATTTTTCTAACGTTTATTCTAATTAGTCGACAGAGAATGGAACACAGGGGAGTAACATTACACAGACATTGGTCGGCTGAAAACCATTAATATTCATTGACCCAACCATTAAGAATTAAGAGCCAGGAATTGAGACTTGACTCTTGAAATGAAAGAAGTTGACCTGTGGCCCTTACAGACAACATGAGAAACCACCCTGAGGGCCGGCTGAGGTGAACTCTCAGCCTCTACCCAAGAGGTGACAAAGGTGACTTCTATTATTGAGGCAATTTCAAGCATTGTGACTGGAGAGCAATAATGAACGGTGCGTGTAAATAAATGTCGGCACCGTGTTTCATTCTGTGGAAGCAGACCTTGAAGATAAGATGTGTGTGCTTTGCTCTGATGCTCTGGTTTGAATCAGTGAGATTGACGTCACACACAGGTGATTTGCAGCCAAATATTTCATGGAAACCGAGAGTGAGTATCTCTCTGTTTTTGTATCATCCCTTATGCAACATCATGTGCTTTAGAGTCATCTCCGTGTGGTGGTTGGGGCATGCTAATCTAGAACAAAAATTGATAATTGTGTTCAATGTTTGTTTCAATTGTTCAACAAAATATAAAGACTTGTTGAAGGAGAAGATCAGAAAGTAGGTTTGAAGTGATTTCCCTACTGATTTGTATTTGTTTTTAACCGTATTTGTACACTGGGGCTTGCCAACCAGAACAGCAAATTGTGTGCTGGATTATTTCAAAGTGCATTCAATGTTTTTTTCCCCAGTGAGAACTGATCTGATTTACTAGCTGATTTGTCAAGATGGAACTCAAACTGTGCCTCTCTGTGTAAGATTTTAAATATTTAAAACAGCAAAGAAATATCTGGTAATACTTTGCAGGCAAGGTCTGTCAAATATTTTTCGAAGAACAAAAAACCCAGCCAGCTGTTTGGAGGTCTTTCTTTGATGCACTTTCTAAATTAAGATCATGGGTGAGTCATTTACAGGACTTTAAAATAGAAGAATAGGAAGACAGCCGAGTGTATCAGGCCCCTGAAGGTGTTGAGTAGATGCAATCCCTGTCCAAAGAGTAAGACAAGTCTAGAAAAGAAATCCAAAGCATGAGGTCAGACTATTTCAACAGAGATTGTCAAGTTGGTTTTTTTAGCATTTAAAGAATGAGATAATTCAAATTCTTACTCGGCAAACGGTAGAAGCCATATTTGTTTTTGTTAGACTTTTCAATTAAATGAGCATCCATGGAGATATTAGTGTCCTGAAGAGCTGCCCTTTTGTTCATCGACTGCTCTGACAACAACTGTTAAACTGCTAATGTCTTGAATCTCTATTTAAAAAGAGGGACATACTGTATTTGTAAGAAGAGGGATGAAGGCATGGTTTACATTTACTAACATATGAACTATAACTGAATCATGTCTTGTTCACTTACCACAAAAACAGAAGTAAAAAATGATCCCAGCCAAAAGGAATTCCTAGAAAGCACATAACTACTTTGCCCTACTGCCCGACCCTTTCCCAAATGGGACTACTGGACTCCTTCAAGCCGGTGCAGAAACCATGAGGCTTTGCTTCCTGTGGTTAGGGTTAGGGTTAGGGTCAGTCCTGTCACGGGTGTTTCCCAGAATGGACCATATGCATGGAATTTGAGGAAAGGCTGGCCCAGTGTCAAAGGAAGGGCTGGGGAGGAGGAGGAGGAGGAGGGATACAATAATGGAGGCAAGGGGGAGAGGAGGGAAGTGGATTTGAGGAACATCGGGGTCTGGTATTCCTGGAAAAGCCTTTGGCCTTTGGCGGTGGTTCTACTGGGAGATACCCAAGCACTATGAGATCATCTTACATGTTTTATGCAAACGGACTGATGTAGCTTGACTAACCAACGTCCCCCAGGGCATTTTACTCAAGTGAAAGATGAACTATCTTAACAGTCTAAGTATGATCTTAAGACTGTGTTTGTGTTTTGGATTAAAGCAGAGATGCTCTGATTAGAGTTTAAAATAATCTCAAAAAAGACGACTGAATGTTGATGATGGCTCCAATCATGAACAGGCGGATAAACAGATGTTGTTTGAAGGCTGCTGTTCGTCATACGACAGAAGATTACTAAGTACAGATGATTAAGTTTGTATGAAACTGTAGTACCACTATAAAAAGAACGTTTTTCCTTAAAACTAAATCTAATTTAGTTAAATGTGAAGGCATGCTAAGAGAAATTAATGCCAGATTTGAGATCAAGTGTATAAAAAAGAAAGATAATTTAATAACTTCAAATATCGAGGGGTCTAAAGAAAACCACAAATGTTGGCGGATTTACTCAAATTGAAAAAAAGAAGCATAAACCACAGAAAGAAAAAAGCATGGCTAACCTCTGAAGTGGTTCTGAGCGCTGAATATGTTTCAATTTATCTTCATGCTGTTTCCTGAAGCTCATACCCATGGTGCGAGATAATTTGATTAGGTGATTTAAAACATCACATCAGAAATCAAGAAGCCAATTAGATTACAACTGATTTTCACATAATCACAAAGACAAATTACTCGTGCGAAAATAGAAGTCTGTTGAATCTCATAGTCTCCAAACA